TTTTGTATTTGATTGTTTTTCCTTTTAATTTTTTTGTTTGATTGTTTTCCTATTAGTTGTGTTTAAATTTTACTCCCAATTTCAGCAAAATTTGGTGATACTAATAAGAAATTTGACATTGTATGTTGGCAATTTTGATATTTCACTTTTTTTTATATTTTATATTGACATGTTTGGCATTACGCAATAACATGCTCGGCATTATGCAATGACATGTTTGTCAGTATGCAATATCGTCTTTGACATTCTTTGGTTGACATTGTATTGGAATTGAAAGCTTTCTCCCTTGGCAGTGACACCATGGCATTATGGTGGCGACAATGACGACATTGACAGCAGAAAATGGGTGCGATGGAGGCAGCATCCGCGACAAATGAGCATGAGAGCGGTAGATCGTGGTGGCGATGACGGCGATAGTGCCGACCGTGGCGGTGTTAGTGGCAGCAACAATGTAGATGGTGGCCGTATTTAATAGCAATGACAGCAAGAGATTGTGGCGATGTAGTGACGGGAATGGCAGTATTGGCAAAAAGAGTGGCGTCAGTGACATGTACGGCAGGGGCTGTAGCTAATTTAGATTTTTTTTAATTGATAAAATGTATTTAATTTCATTGCAATATGAATATAACTTCTATTTTGGAACATGGTCGATGTTTTACTTCTATTTCGTTCCTTAACTCTAAGCTATTAGATTAATTAAGTTAATTACTCCTATTTAAGGGAGTTTATGTTTCAACTCTTATTTTGAGGATATGTTATATATTTTACTACTACTTTGGTCCTTCTCCTTAGATAATATTGGGCTAAGGATTTTTTACTAGAAAATTAAGAGTATAATAACATTGAAAAATAAGATGAATATTAGTTTTGAATCAAAATATGCATTTTAAACAAGAATAAAATAATTTAATTTTATAAAGTAGAGAATAATTTAAAAAGTTAAAGTTTAAAAATCAATATAATAACTTGAGTAAATTATATAATTGGTCCTTTATAAAATGGGGATTTCCATATTTAGTTCTCTATTATCAAATAATGCCACCGTAGTTCTTTTTTAAGGGTGCCTTTCCACAAATGGTCCTTTTTTTATCTTCTGCCGTGTTGGTGTTAATTTAAAAGCTAAAAGTATAATTTGACATCAACATTATGTTTAGTGATGTGTTCTGATATTGGTTAAACGTATAACACAAAAATAATGACTATGATTATGGGCTAGATTCTGACAAAAGACCACATTTGTAGACTATAGTTGTAGTAGAAAACGACTGTAATTCACAAACGACGTAAACAGAATAGTCTTTGAAATTATGTATGACAAAAAAGATATATTATCATTGTGAAATTACACTTTTAGCCTTCAAATTAACACCAACATGATAGAAGATCAAAAAAGGACTATTTGTGGAAAGGTACCCATAAAATAAGGACTACTGAAGTAATATTTGATAATAGAGGACTAAATAGAGAAACCTCTTGTTA